AACCATAAATGAAAACTTGAGTTTTTCTATTAATCTCTCTTACTTCTTCCTCCCATTTTAAACAAAACATTATATTGAGTTTACATATTTTTATAAATTTTTCCAACAACTTCATGTTACAAGCTTGGAGATCCAAATTTAAAGGCCGATAATTTGTGTGAAAAATAGGGCAACCCAAATGCTTAGCTACCTAGGCAAGAAGTGTCATCTTCTTCACTTCTTTTTTATCCAAAAAATATATAAAATAGCCATTGACATTCAAGAGAAGGGAGGGAAGGTTAAAACAACTAAACTTTGGTGGAGCTGAGACCAAAAATATGAAGGGGAAGGATAGCAAAGAACACGCAGGAGAATGAGGCATTAGTACAGGAGCTGAAACCCAGTGGGTGATGAGGGGGAACATAGTATAGGAGCCTATATGATAATGAGAGTCTCTTTGATTGGCTAGAAGAGAATAACACAATATGAGGAAGATACAGTAATAAAATGACAAATGTGTGGGTTTAGAGGGAAAAAAAGAACATTCCCAAAATATAAAAAAATAACAGAAGTTACAAAACAATGAATCTCCTATGTTGGAATTATTGTGGTTCTAGAAGGCACACAATAATACTGTTCCTCAAGCAATTACTTTGCAGAAATCGTCACCTTATAATTTTCTTATTCGAAATAGAAAAGAATAAGGGTTGAACTGACCTACTAAAAGAGTTGTCGTATTTTAAACATAATAGGTAAGATGTGTATTTCATGGCATGATGATTTAGCAGTACAAGGGGTAATTAATACCAAAATATCTTTTTTTTTTAAATATCATATTGATATATCAAAAAATGGTATTAGAAGAGAATAATAGAAATCCATAGGAAGTTATAGATGGTTTGACTCGCACTTCAAACATAAAACTAGGGATTTTCTTTAATAATTGCATGATGAATCACAACTTCCACGGATGGTGGATGGTTATATTAATGAAATAATGGTACATGAAGATAAATATAAAGGCACAAACATCTCACTTCTTCTTACAAGATTCTTATAATGGGATGTTTGACTGTGGTCTGATAGATGTGGGGTTTCGAGGTAGTAAATATACTCAGAGCAATGAACGATAACGAAGTAGTATAATCTAAGCAATGCTAGACATGTTTTTAGTGTAATCAAGTGGATATGATATGTTCCTTGATCACAGTTAAATACTTATTTACGTATGGGTTTAACCATTCTCCTGTTTGTCTCAAGTTGTATAGTGAACAAAGTGGGAGCTCAAAACAAGGTAAAATTTTTCCACTTGAAACCTTCTTTTGCTAGAGGAAAAAGAGTGTCAAGATTTGTGAACATATCCTATGGATTGGGAGAGAATAAAAGATCCCAAAGGATTGAAGACAAAACTTAAGTAATGTGCATAGCCCCTTGTAGAGTGGAATATTAAAAAGATGGTCTCACTAGTATAGGTTCAATTGCAAGAGTTATGAAGGCAAGTGGAGAGTCCAGTAAATTAAAGGGAGGTCTATCGAAAAGAAGAGGAGTTAGAGAAGCTATACAGTAAAAAAGAAATAATGTAGGCTCGATGATCAAGGGTAGAGTGGTTGAAGTGTAGCAATCAAAATATGAGTTTTTATGTTCAAAAAATAGAAAGAAAGTGGCATAATAAGATAGCATGGATAATGTATGAGTCTAGGGAATTGGTAGTGGAGGTTGATAAAGTGACAAGAATTTTCTATAATCATTTCTCAAAAATTTCTCAAGAGGATAATGACTTAGTGATATCCCATCTACTTGATTGTGTTCAACCTTGAGTTATGTCAGAGATGAATCTGTGACTCCTAAAACCTTGTAGATAGATGGAGATTATGTTACTCTCGTAAGTCAAATGCATTCCATATCTCTTATATTCTTTTAAAAGTTTTGGAATCTTGTTAAATCTAATGTGGTACCTTTTGTTTTAGGCTTTTTAAATAATTGAACCCCTTTTGCATAACATGAAACACAAATACATCACTTTCCCTCCAAAAATTAAACAATCCAAAATATCATTTGATTTTCAATCAATAAGTCTATACAACGTAATCATGAAGCTTACAACAAAGTGTATTATAAAAAAAATGAAGCAATTTTTATATGAAGATATACATCCCTCTTAATAAGCTTTTATTCCTAGTAGGCAAATTATGGATAATGCCCTCATAGCTATGGAATTGTTTCACCATCTGAGTAATAGCCATAACTCCCATCATGGATATTTCACCCTTAAGTTAGACGTAAGTAAAGCTTATGACATGGTGGCTTGGGTTTTTCTTGAAAATATGTTCCTTGAATCATGCCTTGACAACGCTTTTAGATTCTAATAATGGAGTGTTATGGAACAGTGTCATATTATATTTTGATTAATGGATAGTCAACACTTGTTTTTACCCAGATAGGAGTATTCGCCAAAGGGCCCCTTTATCTTTTACTCTATCTTTTACTTGGGTCGACAGTATATTAAATGGCTTAAAAAATGGTCTAATTAGCTTCATCTATTTTATATTTGCTCTTTGCAGATAATACCTGATTTTCAAGTGAGCAACAATGGTGGAGGTTATGGGTGTAGCAAAAATATTTTGAAAGCTTATGAAAAGGCACTAGGACAATCAATTAACTTACAAAATTCTATTATCTCTTTCTTAATAGGAGTGAGAAATCTGTTATGGGAGTAGCAATAAAATCTACTTGGATTAAACATGATGGAGGAACATAATGCCAGTTGTGGTTCTTTATGGTTTTATTGCGCTCAGCAGCATAACTTTTTCTTAAGTTCATGAATTAGTGGCAAATGAAGTACAGAGACAGAAGATGAATAGACTATAGATGAATAAACTATAATGTATAAGTAAAGAAATTGTGTTAAAAGTTAGTGGCTCAGTCAATTCCCAGATACTACATGAGCATTTTCTTATTATCATAATATACATGTCTGCAACTTGAAAAATTTGAAAAAATTGACTACATTTTGGTATGGGAAGTAAAGGAGGAGAGAGAAATTTTGACTAGATTGCTTGGTTGAAATTATGTCCTAACAAGGTAGATAATGGGATGGGACTTCATGATTTCCATTGCTTCAATCTAGCTGTGCTATAGAAACAAGTATAAACAATTATATATAATTTTGGCTCACTTTTATGCCGCTTGTTGTAGGCAAGATATTCGAGATGAATCATGTCAAATTGCATAATTAGGTTCACAGCCCAACTATATGTAGAAGAGCTTATTGATAAGTTGAGATTTCTTGGAAAAGGGGCTTCGATGGAGAATGGGGAATGGTAGTCTATCCACATATGACAAGACAAATGGTTGTCATTTCAAGGAGGCTAAAAATATAAACACTAAACCACCTTCTCCTGCGCCATCTATGGTGTCTTTACTGGTATTACCTCATACACCAATATAAAATGTATCTTTGACTAATACATTATTTATGCCATGTAAAGCTGAGCAAATTTTTAATCTTCCATTCAGCAGAAGACTTAACATATAAGATCATCTGAGGTCATTCAAATGATATAACCTATATGGTCTATTTAGTTTATTATGAAGCTTGGCATTCCAGGTGCCAAAGTTTAGGTGACACTTTATCAGGGGCCTCATGTTAAGCATCTTCTGTAAAGAGTGTGCAAAGATATCATTCTTATGCTGTGCAGATTAGAGAAAAAAGGAGTTGTAGTTGACAACATTTACCCCATGAGTGGAGATCATCACATGCTTTGATGAAATATCTTGGATTTATGTCGAATTGGTAGGTACATGTATATATCAATCAAATGAATTTCATTCTATTCTAATGGGGCGCAAATTAAGGTTAATCTTTCAAACAATTCATTGCATTGATATTTATCAAATTTAATATCACTTAACTTATTTTAACTTATACCCGTTAAGTAAAATGGAAGTCAATTTAAATTTTTGTTCCTGAGTGAGCTACTAACCACTATGAGTCTACTGTATATACTTATAATATATACTTATAGATAGACCTTATTACCTTAGTGACTCATTCAATAATTGAACTAAATAAGCTTTAAGGAGATTATAGAGCATCTATTAAAGACATGTGAGTGTGTAAATAAGGTATTAAAGATCAGCCTTATTTGAGGTAACACTATCTGCATTTATCTTTTAATCTTTGGTTATGTCAAGGATTTTCAAAGCACTTTCTTGATTATAGAATATATTATGCTGCTTCTATAGGATATTTGAAGGGAAAGGAATATATGGATTCATCATCAAAGATGCATCAAGGCTCGTAAAATTGGTTGAAAAATTACATAATGTTTTCTTTGAATATAACTATGTAACAAAAAGGGTTGATCTTGTGATGCTGAATGTTATGGAGGTTTCCCAATTTTGATACTCACCGAGCCTAGGTATATGCAAACTTAATTTTGATGCAACTATTGAGAGAGGAGAATGGACGAGTTTGGGTGCTATCTGTTGAGGATGGGATAAGGGTGTGTTGTTTACAGGTATACGATGATCATCAAGTCCAAAGAAAGGGGAGATCGAAGAGATTCTTGCAATATTATATGACCTTTGACTAACACTTGCAATGGGTCCTCAAAGCATAATTGTTGAGGGAGATTCTCAAATCCTCATGAAGCATTTTCTGGTTATAAAAGACTTTCATTGGAGTTTGGTTTTCTATTAGGATGATGAATTTTATTTGACACTTGTTTGTTTTCTTCATTTTGACAAGAATTGTTTTCAGGAAAAAGAAAAGTCAACTTCAATCATCCATGAAGATTTTCTCTACTCTTCAGAGGCACCAATGGCATGGTAGCACTTGAACAAAAATGATAAAATGTTTATTTATTCCAAATATGAAGTAGCTTATTTTCCCAACCACTATATTTGGTTAAATTTTTCTGTACATAGCAAAGCATTTTCCACCCCATGGTTAGACTTGTCCAATAAGGATGCGATTTACAATCCAAAGATGAACCTCTGACAGACCGAGATCCAAAAGGTTGGAAAACTCACCCATCAAATCCCCGTGAGCAGAGAGGTATAGATGGATATATGTATATATTGAAAGAGAGAGAGAAAGAGAGAGGGAGGGAGAGAGAGTGGCGTTTGAAGTTCAATAGCTATACAATTACAAGGTTTGGGGGGCTTAGCATACAAAAGTTGCCCCAAAAAAGAATGTAGCTTTTGTGAAGCAACTATTCAGATTGGATTAGAAACAACTTTCCTCAAGACAAGGTTCATATGGTACATTTCCCAGCCGAGGAGATTTGCCACCTACTCCTTAACATCATCAACTATGTTCATGTCAAGTGTTTAAACCCTACTCTTTATTTCAACTCTCACTGTTATCAACACTGAAACATATTATTACAAACACCACACAAAATCAGCAAGAATTATATATGCTGCTTAATAAAGAACACAACATTTAAACAATCAGTAGATCATAATTAAATATTCTTGCCCCGCCAGCATCTTCAATTCCTTATATCAAACAACGGCAGCAATAAATTTTGTTCGTATATCTGGCATAAGTATGGATGAAATAGATCGTCAAATTTTAATAACTAACGATAAAGAGTGGGTACCACAACCATAGGACATCACAAACAGCTCTTTCAGGAAACAGGAACCTGAACCCTTGCCATGTTTAATTTGGTACTATTTTCAATCCCTAACATTAGTTATTTCTTTTTCCTTTTCATTATTGGTTAGGCCGGGGGTGGGGGCAGGGACACTGAACTATACAGATAGTTTCTATCCAACAAGAATCTCTCTTCCCACGTTATGGCTTCCCACCCTGTGTTTAATCAGGGACACAGATCCATGGGGATAGTTTTTATCCAACAAAAATATCTCTTCTTACCTTATCAGTAAGTCCGTGATGTTTTTCTTTTCTTTATTTTTAATTCTTTAGTTCTTATTTATACATGCCTATTAGGTGTTGTAGATTCAAGTAGAGGGAAGGATTTTCTAAGCAATTAAGTTTCGATATTGCATACGTTGTGTGGGGTATAGAAGTTGATTCGATCCTCCTCATATCCTTTCGCGTCATTAAGGCTTCCTACCCTGATCTGTACGGTATAATCTTTTCAAAACATATAAAAATATCAAAAATATTTCACAAAGAATCCTACAATTACGTAGTCTGGAAGTAGTACAATTGTTTCAGAACCTAATGCAAATTTATCTTCCTTGTAAAATATTCTTAAGCTGCCCTCAAGAGTAGCATACATCCTTTCAAAAGACCCAAGCCATGTGGAGTTCTGGACTGCCTAGCTCTCCAACCCCTAGCCTAGAGCCCAAACTTGGTCCTAATCACCATCCACTTCACGATGCCCTCAACAATCATAAATCTTCAAAGCCAATTTCCAAAAAAAGAGCTTGGTTAAATTCAACAAGTGATCTAATGTCAAGCCCGAACCTTTCAAAGGGAAGCTTACCAGAATCCGAATCTAACATGTGGAACCTTCTCCACACCTCATAATCATCCCACAAAATGCAAATATTGAAGTGCCTCCAAGTTCTTTTTCATGCTAGCTCGGATTGTGAACAAGGATAAAGAGATGGACATGTTAGACAATATATGTCTTATGAAAGTGAACCTAACCCCATTTGATAGAAAATCTCTATCCCAGTCTGCCAATCTCTTCTCAAATTTAAACAATGTTGTCTCCTGCGCGATTGTCTTAAATTTGGACCTCAAGAGGCAACCCCAAGTTCTTCAAAAAAAAAAAAAAAGACTAGAGACACCTTAGAGCTCAAGATGTTAGCAAAAGTTCCCATATTTAGACCCTCCACGAGAGACCCCAAGCCTTATTAGACAAGTTAATCTCAATGCCATAAACAGCTTAAAAGCAGAAGAGGATGCATCTAACATTTAGGAGGGCATCACTATAAAGCCTAAAAAAGTACCGTTTAAAAAACGAAAAAAAAAACAAAAGAGACACATCCATTGCCTCCTCTCCTTCCCCCACAACCAACCCCTAAATTAACTATTGTTCTTCGACTCTGATAAACACTCTGTTGAAAGCCTCCATAACAATGACAACAAGTAGGGAGAAAGGATACCCTTACCTTGGACCTCTTGAGCCTTGAAACAACTGCAGGGGCCACCATTGATAATAACCAAAATGGAGGTGGAAGAAATACAAGTCTTCATCCACGAACACCATCTATCTTCTAAATCAAATCTCTGCAACATATAAAACAAGAAGCCCAAGACACATGGTCAAAAGCTTTTTCCATATTAAGTTTGTAGATTAAACCCTCCATACCATGGCTTCACATAGAGTTAACCCCTTCATTAGCATCAATGCAGCATCCAGAATTTTTCTAACCTTAAATAAGCATAGCAGAAAATCTGCCACCATGCTATCCACCCTCCAACCATCTTTTGGCCAATAACTTAACAATGAGCTTGTAAATACAATACCCACCAAGCTAATGGATCCATAATGCTTAGCATTATAGGTACGTTCAACACTAACAATGAGCCCCAAAAAGGTGGAACTCCTCTCGAAAAAGTCTAAAAACATTGCCATAGTCTCCCTCAACCATTGCCAATTACCCGAAGGAAAGCCCTAGAGAATCCATCTAGATCCAGTTCTTTATCCCCCTTTACATCTTTTGAGGGATCAAAAATCTTACCTCCATAGAAAGGTCTTCAAGGTAATCTTGCTACCGCTCGTTATAGAGTTACAAACCGAACCATTTAACTAAAAAGTTCCTTGCCCTTAAATAAGCCTTTGACTGCCTCTCTATGGCCCCCATTACACTCATGAACCTGACAATTGACCTCCATCTTCTCAATGAAATTGCATCATCTATGGTAATCAGCCAGACTGCAAAAAAATTGAGTGATTTTCTCGCTCTCCTTTATTTATTTAATCCTAGATTCTTGTCTCCAAGCAATATCTTCCATTAATGATAAATTAGGAAGCTCAGATTATAACGAAACCATTACATGTTATAGGAAGAAGGGCAAAACAGGAATAAATATACGAGGGTAAAAGGGTAAAATCACAAAATGGTAAAAAAGGATTTTTTACCCTTACACAGAAAGTTCACAACGGGCTTCTGTTCACCGGCTGTTGCAACTGACACCGGCTATTGTAATCGGAGATGGTTGCATCAGTTGCAAATGATGCAACCATCATCTGTAACGGGCTGGAGCGCCTAGCACATTGGCACGTCCTACACCGATTTCGCGTATAAAATAGGCTACAAATGAATGAACAATCCATCACCAAGATCATTTGAATCAACTTGAGTTCATCTCCTCTATATTGATCTCTCTCCCTCTCTTTCACTCTCTCTCTCTCTCTAAACTCAAATCTTTCTGCTTACCTATTAGGTTGGAACCATGAGCAGAGGTTCTTACAAAGTGGTATCAAAGCCACTCGAACTGACAAAGACCTATGCTTCAATCGCTTCTTGCACCAGGTCCAAAAGGAAGGCGGCAGTAGTGGAAATTGCAAAGGTCAGATCAGCGGAGCCTACTATGAAGGAGGTAGACCAAAAGCTAAGCGACTTCATGACAGAAGTCTATGAAATCCAGAGACAATCCCGATAGCAGCTGGATCTAGTAGTGGAAATGTTGTGCAGTGGCATCTCTCTTTAAGAGGCCACAAGTCAAAAGCTCAAGCGGCAGTAATCCCTATCGGGCAGAGAGGAAATCTTCCTTCCCCTCTGTTATGCGAAGGAAATGAAAAAAGAAGAGATGGACTGAATGAAAAATGGGGAACCCAAAAACTGGTTTAATAAATAAACCAGTCAAGAAAATTTGGGATCAGGCAAAAACCAATTCAGGACTTACAGTGAATTGGCCCAGTTCACACTTCCCTGGTCAATTGCCCACTTTGCCCAGTCTGCGCAAAGTGGAAATTCCACTATTTGAGGGTGTATATCCTCATGTTTGGATCATGAGATTTGATAAGTAATTTTCAGTGCGCAGCAATCCGGAGGAACAAAAAGTGGGAGTAGCATCATTCTTACTCGGTGAAGTCGCGGATGTATGGTACCAAGAGTGGTTGACGAAAAGTGAAAAGCTTGAATGGGAACATTATGTCTAGGAGCTTTGTTGTTGATTCAGCGATGCTAATAAACTAATGCAAACCGGAAGTATTCTAAAGTATCAAGAACGTTTAGAGCATTTAGACAGCTTTAATGACGCAGACAATCCCACTCTCTCAGAGAAATTTTTATTTCCAATTTTATCAGTTTACTCAAACCAGAACTACAACAAATGATAAAATTGCTTAAACCATGCTCGTTCAACCAAGGTTTTGAACAACCCTACTCCAAGAGCAATTCATAATAAAAATATCCCGGAGTTCATATTCCATTGACAAAGCAGGCCAACTACAGGAAGGGTCTGGGGAAAGAAATTATGAACAAACTCCTGAGCCATAGAAAGGGAAATGGAACCTAGGAAATCAATGACAACATGTTACCAACGTGGCGACCGATATTTCCTAGGATATCGTTGCCCAAGTTAAACTATAAAGGTGATGGAGGATATTGTTAGTGAAGAAACCTTGGAAGAAAAGGTCCTTGAAATCTTGTAAAGGATGGAGAAATACCATGTCCAAAGAAACCTTGGAAGAAAAGGTCCTTGAAATCTTGTAAAGGATGGAGAAATACCATGTCCATCCAAGCAATAGACGAGTGAATGCAAGAAATACCATTAAAATACGAGGGAAGCTGGCAAAGCATGACAACTTGGTTCTCTTAGAGTGGAAGTTCGCATTCTGTCTTGGATGAGGGAGCAGCCAAACGGATCAAAAAACATGTGGTTAGCAATAAGCCATTAATGGTGATGGTAGCCAATAGACAGAAGATGTCTAGTCACATCGAATGTCCGGAAGTGTCATGGACCATACAGGGATACAAGTTTTTCAACAGTTTCCGCATGATCCCATTGGGTGGATATGATATGATATTGGGTGTCAAGTGGATGAAGCAGTTCGGTCGAATGATATTCGATTTCATTTAAGACATCATTAAACTTAATTATAGAGACGTATTTATAGTGCTTAATAGAAACGAACCCTATATAAAGTCAATCACGGAAACAAAAGCGATTAAAGCAAGAAATGGGCCAAGCAAAGGCAACCAATTGAAGGTAGAACCATATTTTTGGTGATAGAAATTGCAAAGGAGATACAAACTCCGGAGGTCACCAACAAGGCACTAGGAGCATTACTTAACCAATATAAGAACATCTTTGAAGAACCACTGAGGGTTGCCCCTATTAAAACTTTCGATCACGCCATTTCGTTAACTAAAGAGAATGTCATAGTGAACATACGTCCTTATAGATATTCATTCCACCAAAAGAATGAAATAGAGAAACAAGTACAAAAAATGTTGGATGAGTCACCATTCGGCCACATAAGTCTAAAATGACACCCTTCCAAGCATTTTATGGGTATGCTCATCCACATTTCTCGAACACTGCAGACTTTTACTTAGCTTCACCCTTAGTGGAGATGTTCTTGACTGAAAGAGAAGAAACTAATAAGACAATTAGACAACAACTTTTGAAGGCATTGTCTAGGCCAACACAATATACAGAAAAACATCAAAGTGGGAGAAGTTTTGAAGTTCAAGACTGAGAATTACTTAAACTACAGCCATTCACCTTGCTACTGTGGGCCTTTCCAAGTCTCACAGAATATCCGGAATGTAGCATAAAAGGTAAGGTTGTCACCAACCTCACAAATCCATCCCGTCTTTCATGTGTCTCAACTCAAAAGATACGTCTCAGGCATAGAAATTATCAAACAAGATTTACCTCCCAATACTTATGAAGGCTTCATTAGTGTTCAACCTCAGCAAGTTCTGCAACAACAAACCATACTAGGGGGCAACAAGCCAGTGGACCAGGTCCTGATCCAATGGGAAGGTGCTCAACTGAATAATGCACATGGGAAAACCACAAGTATATCTTATATCAATTTACAAATGACAACCTTTGGGACAAGGTTATTGTTCAAGGGGATGGTATTGTAACAAAAGCATTAGAAGTGTACTATAGGAAGACAGGGCAAATTGGGATAAATGTACAAGGGCAAAAGGGTAAAATCACACAAGGGTTAAAAAAAAGGATTTTCACCCTTAGAAAGTTCTCGAAGGGCTTTTGTTCACCGACTGTTGCAACCGACACCGACTATTGTAACCGGAAATGGTTGCATCAGTTGTAACCAATGCAAGCATCATCCCCATAATGGGCTAGAGCGCCTAACAAATTGGCGCATTCTACCTCAATTTCACCTATAAATAGGATGTGAATGAATGAAGAATCCATCACCGAGATCATTTGGATCAACTTGGGTTCTTTGTCGATCTCTCTCCACCTCTTTCTCTCTCTCTCTCTCTCTCTCTCTCTCTCTCTCTCTCTCTCTAAACTCAAATCTTTCTACTTACCCGTTAGGTTAGAATCATGAGCGAAGGTTAGACAGCCCTAGGATTGGCTCAACTCTCCCTCTAAAAAGTGTTATTTCCTTCAGATGCCTTATCATTTTGCTTCTGCTTTGTGATGAAAAACCATTTGAAGATGCATAAAAAACACACACAAAGACACTCTCAACAATGAACCTACAATTGACTAAAAGTTAAAATGATACTGAAGGCATTTGATTTTGCATTTAATTTAACTAAGGAATTACAAAGCTTAGAATTCAATGAATATTTAGCATAACCATAATAACATATTTTGGTAAGAATAGGTAGAAAAATAAAATAAAATGTTAACAACACAGCATATGACAGAATAATACTAAATAGATAAAGTTATGTGTTTGGTAATATGGGATTGGACAGCAAAAATATGCTCTATTCTTCATTTGTTAGATATTTGACAACAAACGATATAACATATAATTACTTAATAGCTTTTGTATGTTAACGAGGACAACTACCATCAACTAGATAAACCTATTCCTTGAATTGAGAAAAGGTGGCAAATGGCCCAAGGAGATGTTGATATTATCAGATAGAGGACAGCCTAATATCAGTGTCATTCTGCCATTTGGATGTTAGTCTAAGGTGCTAATAAAAGTGTATGAGCCTTGTCAAAAAGAAATAGTCTCCTGCAAATATGTCTATCACCCAGCAGAAACCTTTGGTAACCTGGATTTTTCCTTCTTACATATAAAAATAACCATAAAATCAGAGATGAGATACAAAAAGCTTGGCATTTCCCTACCTGAGAAAACCTTGAACTCACACAGCCTAATACCTTCCTGTTCTTTCAAGGAACAGAGACTAACACCTTTCTGAAGTCTTTATTCCTTGTTCTTAATTGTTTTCTTTTTTTTTTTTTACTTTTTTATAAAAAGAAAGTCTACTCTTTGTGAAGAAGTACCTTTACTCTCTTCAAGATACATGACTCAGTTTGCACAAGCCAGCAACGTTTCTTTACTTTCACTTTTATAAGCAATGACAGATCATACACTGCTTGAATTGAAATACTTTAATTCTCTACTACCTTTATATATGTTGATAGCAAAGAAATGCAAACATGCAGTATTAGATTAGAACCTTCATAACAAGCAGAGATTCAGACAACAAAACAGTTTAAAACTCTATTAGCGGTATAAACCAGGATAAAAAATTATCTATGAAAACACATTTCATCTTTGCATCGAAGAAATTAGAAAAGTTGCCTCACCTTTGGTTTTTGCATTGATTTACACGGTCATTGATGAAAATGAATGCAACAGCTGCCACCAGGCTCAGCTAGTAATTTCTTCTTGAACCACAGGTTTACCAAGATTTTCTTTTTGTACGGCTCTTCTTTTGGCTTGAATTTGACGCACATACTCTGTAACTATGACATGGAATTTAGGAGCAAGTTTACTTGACGAGGAAACATTAAGACCTGCCTTCTTCAAAGCTCGGGTAACATGCTTCTGAGCCTTCTGGAAATGGACATTACAAAGAGAAGGAATAGTCGATCTCAATATTGGTTTCCCACATGTTATAGGCCCTGCTTGAGCACTGGATTTTACACAGTCCATCAATTTACAGAAAAGGGAAAACAATCAGTTCAAAAAACCAACATTCAGCATTAATTAGCATTGAAAAAAGTCTTGAATTTACTCCTCATCTTTCATTAATCAAGATGAAAATCAAAAGAAAGACTACTCAGACTGTGCATGCTTGTGAACAAGGGAATATTTCAAAGTTGACAAATGATACCTGGAAGCATAATAGCTAATGAATGAAAGGAGGAAAGAGAAGCCAACAGCACTCAACATACATATACATGCACATCATGCTCAGAAACAAACACATAACAGAATAAGCACATGAATGCCTATTTCAACCTCAAAAAGAACCTAGATATTTGATCATGAGACTTCTTTTTAGACAATACCATTGTACTTTAGACATATAGATAATGCCTAATCTATAAGATTGTATTTTGAACATTCTTATCATGGACAGGTTGTGAATGCTAACACTAGCCAGCATAAATTACTCTTACATCAAGCAACATTTAAAACAATTCAGGGTTTTCAGTTCCACGAAAGAAATCCAGCATAAGCAACTGGCTTCTTTTTTCCAGTTGTATCGATTAGATTACTGCCAAAGAATCTCCACAAAAAATTACAAAAACAAACCCTCTTCAAAAGGCTGCTCCAAACAAGTAATCCCTTTTGTTTAAGAAAAACCCTAACATAATAATTTGTTCCTACAGAGAAAGATATTTTAAGGAAATTAAAATAATCTTAAAAAATAAATCTAACAGCATATACAACTGTTCAAGTCCGACTTAGGATCATAAAATCGGACTGCTAGCCTGCAGATTCTTCCTCTGAAACCCAAATAATATAATATATTGATTGACAAGTGAATCAAAATAAACCAGAAACGGGATCCAAAACAAGAGCAAGTACCTCTTGATGACATAACTGCAAGCCTTGTAGAGTTTCTGCTTGGAATCGGAAAGAATATGCAGATGACAAAAGCTGGTCAACGCCATGGCCTTCAATTTACAACCGACGAACAAGCAGCGACGATTGTTCTTGAAATCAAAATCGCTCTTGTTACTAGTAGGATTGCAATTAACGTTTTCACCAGTACCTTCAATGCAATTAAGAGCACCCTCCCTGTCACCAGTTTCTCTCTCTGAAACTGCGCCGGTAACTTGCTGTGATCTCTCTTGATTTTGGTGTTGGTCTTCCTTGAAAGGGCTAATACCAAAGCGCCAGTAGTACTCTCTGTACTGAAGTTTGAGGTCTTCCATGAGAGCCCAGTAGTGGTCTCTATAGCATCGGGAGAGTTGCCTGAGGTGGTGGGATCGGCGCCTGAGAAGCTCTGGGCGCGTGAGATGCGAAGAGCGAGAGAGAATAAGGTCTTGAGGAGGCATAGAGATCGGAGAGTTGTTGTGAGTAGAAACAGGGCTAGGGTTAGGGTTTGGGGGTTGAAGATGGTTTCCGGTGGAGACAACGACTGGGATTTTAGGGGGCTTGGAGGATGAAGGATAGAAAGTTGAAGACATTTGATTCAAGTTTTTCAGAGATATTGAAGAAGAAGAAGAAGCTTCTGCTGCTGCTGATACTGCCAGAATGCGTTTCGCAGTACAGACCTTTCTTTTTCTCTCTTTTTCGTCGTTACTATTTTTTCTTTTGATTCCTTTTTCTTTTTTCCGTTTTTGTTTGGATAAATTACAGAAATCACCCTATAATTTATTCCAAAACAACATTATATAGTTTAAATATATACATAATTTAATTAATATTAGAAAATAATCTACATTAACCATTTACGAACTCATTCTACATTTTTCTTGAAGAAAAATTTAGATATTTCATTAATTAAATGACACATCAATTATATGCAGCAAAAGAAAGAAAAGCAGCGGCCGACTGTAGCTGCATGAAGAAGAAAACCCAACGATCACGCGACTGTTCAGCAGCCAAAACTATTGATGAATCTCGCACGTAACGATCGATTTTTTCCAACCGTTACAAAAGTAACCCGACACCTTCGAGCGTGAGGAAGAAGACTGAGAGAAAAAAAGGATAATATTTTTTTAAGATATTTTTTTGTCATTTCTATAATTGATTTTCTTTCTAATTCAATTTAAATTTGGTTCTAATTTTAAATTTAAATATTTATATGTGAACATATATATTAAAATAAATTAATTTACATAATATGTCACAAAAATGATCTCTTTTGTGGATAATTTATTTATTTCATAATATAAATAGTTGGATGAGTATAATTTATGTGAATATTAATCGGTCTAAAATAATGTAAATATTTAATATGATTGCATTTCTATTTAAGGTAATTAATACGTGACAATTATTCAGTATAACATATGAACTTTAAGTCGGCCTAAAGAAAAATTTATTGTTTGATGTGTTCTTATTATTTGTATTTAATTACTATTATAGGGTACCACTTATAAATTAATATTTTGTTCAAAGATACAGTGTTAATGAAGTATTCGGTATCTTGAGATGAAATATATATTTACTTAAAATTCATTATTAAAGTTTATAGTTTAATATTTTTTATGTGAATATTAATTAATTAATTAATTTGTTTATTGTATTTTCGCTATTCAGTTCCTTATACTGCTAAGAGGATCATCAAAAATGTGAATTCCATACCAATGTTGAACAACACAAACTTCAAGCAATGAAAAAATAGTGTTTGACTTGTGTTTTGAGTTATGGATCTAGATTAAGCTTTACAAGTTGATCAACCCGATCAAATTATTCTTGACAGTACCTCTAAAGAAAAAGGGTTTGAAAGATGGGATTGGTCAAATCGTATGACTATGTTGATTATAAAACATGCCATTTTAAAGGTTTTTCAGGGCACCATATCTTATAAGATCATAACAGTTAGAAATTTTCTTTATTCGCTAAAACAATATTTCGCCAAAAGTGATAAGGTCGAGGCATATACACTTCTGTCGACCTTTATTTCCATGAGGTATAAAGGAAATAGAAATATCAGAGAGCACATAATGAAGATGCCACATGTGCATGAAAAGCTCAAGGCACATAGATAGAATTGTCAGAAGAAGTACTTGTATACTTTGTTTTAATTTCTCTTCCACTAAAGTTCAGTTATTTCAAGGTGACACACAACTCTTAGAAGGAATCATAAAATTTGAATGAGCTCATTTCACATTGTGTTTAAGAGGAGGAAAGACTCAAATCTAAAAGGACAAAGAGTATTCATTTGGCAATGATCTCAAAGAATAAGAAGAATAAGAAAAAAAAAAAATAAGTAAATCTATTGTGGCTCCAGTACAACAGAAAAAGCAATAGAAGGTTCAGACAAAAAATATTTGTTTCTTCTGTAAAGCTTCGAAGCACCAGAAGAAGCAATGCGCTAATTATCATACATGGTGCCCAAAGAAATATGTGCTTCTTAATTTTATTTGTTCTGAGATTAATTTAACTTTTGTTCTTATACACACCTGCTAGATAGAATTATGGTGCCACAACTCATATCAGTGTGTTAATGCAAGGTTGCCTCCATTGTCGCAAGCTAAGTGATGGTGTCAAATTCATTTATGTGGGCGATGACAAACCAACAATATGAAAGCAATTGACAAATTTAAATTGTTGTTAAGGACTAGAATTTATTTTGATTTAGAAGAGATTTTTATTGTACTCTCATTTAGATGGAATGTGATTTTTATTTATTTATTGAACAAATTTGGTTATTCATATCATTTAGAAATAGAAAATTTAGTCTTTTTCTTAATTTAAATCTGGTTGGCTATGGTTCTTTATCAGCGGATGATAATCTTTATTTGCTTGATACAATTACTTCTTATAATGAATCCTTACATGTTGGTACAAGAGATGTAAAGAAAAAATTAACAAATGAGAATTCTACTTCATTGTAGTATAAGAGATTAGGTCACATTTTCCAAATGAGAATTGAGAGACTTGTGTCTCATAGAATTCTAGTTCCCATTGATTTTACAGATTTCGACATATGTATCCGTTATATTAAGAAAAAATAGACAAACATTAAGAGATTCGGTGTCAACAAGGCTATGCACGTATTAGAACTCATTCATACAGATATTTATAAACCGTTCCCTATGGCTTCTTAGAATGGTCAATAATATTTCATAACGTTCATAGATTATTATTCCAGATATAACTATCTATATCTCATTCACGAGAAGTCTCAATCCCTAGATGTGTTCAAGAGTTTTAAAGCAGAACTTGATAACCAACTCAACAAAAGGATTAATGTTGTTAAATATGATGGATAAGGTGAATAGTATACAGGGCCATTTGCTCTTTTCCTAGAGGAATGCTCTATTCCTAGCATGAATGGTGTTGCTGAAAGGTAAAATAAAATATTTAAAGATATGGTGCGGAGTATGATTAATCATTTTATCTTACCTGAATCATTATGGGGAGAAGCATTAAAGACCGCAATATATTTACTCAACAAAGTTCCAACTAAAGCAATTACAAAGACACCTTATGAGTTTTGGATGGCAAAAAACTTAGTTTGATACATTTGCATATTTGGGAATGTCCAGCTGAGGCCAGACCTTATAAGCCATGGGAAAACAAATTGGACTCCAAAACTGTTAGTTGTTATTTTATTGGTTATTCTAAATGATTCACGGCTTATAAGTATTATGATCCCACTGTAAAGATAATATTTGATACGGCAAATGTCTAGTTCTTGGAGGATGTTGAGTTTGCAGGGGGAGAAAGAGTTTGAGACCTTATCTTTGAAGAAAAATGAGTCGATATTTCTATTCCCTTAGTTGTTCTTAACAATGATCAAGATAAGATTTTTATACATAACATTATTAAAAAAAAAAATTCAGATCAAAACAATATCATAGTATCTCCTGTTCATGTTCAGAAAACTGTTCCTGAAGTACAAACTTCGCACCCTCAATAACCTATGCCATTAAATAGATCTACTATAGAGAGGAGAAGTGTATTTCCATATGATTATACTGTATTTCTCTAAAAATGAGTTTGACATTGGTACAGCTGAAGATGATCCTATCAACTTCCGTCAAGTCATTAAAAAAGTTTTAACTCTCAAAAGTGGATTGATGTCATGAATGAAGAGATAAAGTCCATAAAGGACAATGATGTTTGAGATCTTGTTTCATTGCCTAATGATGCAAAACCCATTGGTTGTAAATAGATATTTAAGACCAAGAGGGATTTTAAAGGTAATATGAAAAGGTACAATGTTCGTCTTATCGTTAAGGGGTTTACACAAAAAGAATGTATCGATTATAAAGAGACATTTTCTTCGGTTTTATTGAAATACTTTTTTAGGATTATAATAGCTTTAGTTGTATATTTTGATCTTGAGTTACATCAGATGGAGGTTTAGACATCATTTCTTAACGGTGACATTGATGAGACAATTTATATCGTGCAACTAGAAAACTTTGTATTCGGAAATGCAAAGCAAATGGTTTGTAAACTAAAGAAATTCATCTATAGATTTAAGTAGGTTTCTCGTCAATGGTATCACAAATTTCATCAACTCGTTATCTCATTTGATTTTAAGATGAATGTAGTGGAAGATTGTATATACCATAAATTCAGAGGAAGTAATATATTTTTCCTATTTTACAAGTTGATAACATACTGTTTGCCAGTAGTGATATAGGTTTATTGCACGAAACTAATGGATTTTTGACATAGAAATTTGATATGAAAGATCTTGGGGATACCTCTTTTAATTAGGAATTCAGTTACATTGGGATCGCTCTCGGAGTATTCTTAAATTATCACAAAAGAGTTATATTGAAAAAAAATTTAACAGATTTGACATGCAGGATTGTAAAGTAGGTAACTCTCTTGTATTTAAAAAAGATAAGTTTACTCCAAGTTAATGCCCTAAGAATGACATAGAGACTACGGAGATGCAAAAGATTCTTTATGCTTCAATTGTAAAGAGTCTTATGTATACACATATTTGTATGCATTCGGATATTGCGTACATAGTTGGGATGTTAAGTAGATATTTAAGCAATTCAGGTTTGGATCATTGGAAAGCAACCAAATGTATCATGCGGCATATGCAAAGAATAAAATATTATATGTTCATATACATGAGGTCAGATCAATTGGAGATCATTGGTTATTAATTCTAATTTCGCTGGATGTCAAGACAACAGAAAATCTACATCAAGTTATATCTACTTGCTTGCTAGGGAAACTATTTCTTGAAAGAGTACTAAGAAATACTTGTAGCTTCTTCTATTATGTTAACATAGTTTGTAACTTGTTATGAGGCATTCAATCATGGAATATGGCTGTGAAATTTTGTTAGTGGGTTGCGCATTATTGATAGCATAGAAAGATCATTAAAGTTATTTTGTGACAATAAGTTTGTAGTTATGTATTCTAACAACAAAAGGAGCTCGACGAAGTCAAAACATATAGATATCAAGTTCTTCGTTGTTAAAGAAAGAGTTTAGAGTAAGTAAATATCGATAGAGTACATTAGAACAAACTCCATGATTGCAAATTTGTTCACTAAGGGATTATCACCTAAGGCTTTTCATAATCACATTGCTCATATGGGTGTTGTATCATTTAATGATGCATACGTTCAGTGGGAGTCTTGTACCACAATTGTATTTATTTTGTAAGACATGTCATAAGC